GATGTATCCGCGTGCCACCTCTAACGCCCAGGACTAAACCTTGTGAAACAGACTTATTATTTTTACGTTAGCAGTCTGTATGTGTATATGTGCTTGTGTGTGTGCGTACAATTATAAAAATACAGTGTTGTTCCAAATAGATGTCCGCTACACAGATACTGTTTACATTCCATTAGGGTGTCCAAAGGAAGTGTCAAAGTCCAAAGATAAAATCGTCACGTGATGTATACAATGGCAACATAGACCATCCGATTGGTTACACTTTGTGTGTTCATGAATATCCCTAATGGTAATCTGAATTATTGTTTCTTTTTTCAAATGAATAAATATAAAAAAAATAATACATACAATCATATCATACAATCATGTCATGTAGTCTTAAACTAGATATATGGTTTTGTAGCAAAACGCGCTTTATTTAATTTTCAATATTTGAATTTGCAGTTTGTACATACAAAAGCTACATATCGGAAACATTTACCTAGGCAACAAATATTTTAATTTAAATGAAAAAAATTGGTACCCAAGTAGGTATCAGTAGGATGTTATACTGTGTAATTAAAAACTAAATGTACTTTAATTTCAAAATTATATTTATATTGGATGAAATCATGCGAAGATTGCAATATTTTACTGCGGGCGCAAATATTCGTACATGGAGTTAGCAAACTATCTGTTATGAAAACAATTTGATATATTTTGTGACAATCTGACTTCCCCTGGCGCAATTTGATTTCGGACTAATTATTTTTTGTTTTTGTCTAGGTAGTACTATGGTTAAGTTGTTGTTTGCAATGGCTGTAATTCAGTGTGATTATTTGTATTAATAATCTGGTAGTAATTTAAACAAAATTTTAGATCAGTTCAGCTCAGTTTATTTAATCTCGGTTATACCTTGAGTAGATTATAGTGTAACATATACATATAACATATACCTCTGTTAAAAAGACATTCTTGGCACAAGATTTGCCCTAATTGGCGAATAACAAAGTAGTATCTATGCTCAACTCAACCAGTAAACTGAGCAGTGTGGTAGATTAACAGTGTATATTATTAACAGTTTTGGTGATATATACTAGTACCACGTTAAACACAAAGACTGTTCAGTAAATAAACACGTAGTAATTTATTGCATTTCGCATTCGTTAGAGTCATTAAACCAACTCGTGTTCAACAAATATTTTTTTTAAAAACATTCAACGAGCTAAACAATACCCATCAATTAGATTTTTAGATCCGCGGAAAGCGATTTGTCGTGATGAATATTTGAATATACTCGTATCATATTCATCCTATTTTATCACATTGTCCCGATTCACAACTACAGACCAATTTTAATTCTGCCAGTGGCATTATTTACTTGAAAGATATGTACTTACTGTGTTACCTATACGCAAACATCCGTCCAGTACAATTGCAAATGCATTTCACAAATATAGTACATGTCACTTGAGACTCATAGTAAACAGGTCGCGTTGTGACGACAACGGCGCTTCATTCCATTCCACTACTCTCAAAATAGCAATGTCTGAATAATCTTCTCAAATTACGTTACTGTAACATATAATATAATATTGTCCCATATTATGAGGTTATTACGAGGATACCGAAAAGTATACACGATGACAGTACAGCGGGAGTATCGACGTCCGCTATGCGACGGCGTACTGTCTGAGTTGCACATAACAACCAAATAAACAGTGGTCGATGCGACGGCGTACTGTTGCGCATAACAGCCAAATAAACATTTCGTGAATTAGATAAACCAACTTGTTAGAGTTGATTGCTAAATAATACGATCTATCTCATCTGTTATATATAGGTTATTCTCCGAAATATTTTCGCTCTGACCGGATGAGACATTTCTGTCTTCATAGAAAGAAAA